CGCCATTGTATGTGACCCCCCCCCGCTCAAAAACTGTTGGTACAAGCTGCGCTCAGACATGACTCTGTCCTCCCAATCAACAAAAATCATGGATGAAATGAGCACCCCGCCATGGCAAGTTAACTAGGGGAAACACTGTTGCACCTCTCGTGGTGTCTCTGAGCAGGACACCCTATCCCCAACTGCTCCCCAGGCACTTTCAAAAGCTGCCCACTGCTTTACCTGAGTGTATCCCAGGTGCAATGGATTAAATGCAGAGAGACAATTTTGCCATTGTATGTGAACACACAATGATGACAACACATAACACATTATTATTATTATTATTAAAACCTATGGACATTGAAGATCTGGTGAGATCGTTTCTTTTTATTTAGGTGCGCCGATGCCTAGAATGAGTGGGCGTTTCCCTCATCCTCCTTCAAAACAAACTTTCCTTCAAAGAAACTGAAAGACTGGACTGAAAGATTGATCAACTTGTTTTTTTTATTTGAGGGGTTTATGGGATTTCATGTGTTGATATAGAAATGTTGTGGGATGGTATGGTATAGTTTACTCATTAAAAAAAAAAAACAATTCCATAAATTATAAAAAAAAATACAAGGGATTTAAAATGAAAGGCTGCAGAAAGAAGAAAAAATCTTATTAAATGTGCCCCTTTTTTCAAACCATTAGTTCAATGTTGATAATCTTCAAGTAACAGCCCAAAACAAATAACTCTTTCTAATTTTTCTAACTCTAATACAAAACACACACTAAGCTACTTCATGGTTTTTTTTTTTTTACAATTCAGCTTTGATCTTTTTCTTAAATGTGCACATTGACTTGACATTTTTAACATCACTCTCTAGACCATTCCACAATCCAACTCCTTGGATTGAGGTAGACATTCCCTTCAGACTAGTTCTGATTTTTGGTTTGACAAATATCTCTATCCCCTTAAGATTATAACAACTTTGCCTTTTAACAAAATTTCTTTGGATATTTAATGGTAATGTGTAATTTTGAGCCCTATACATAACTGATAAAATACTGTAATCTACCAAATCATGGAACTTCAATAACTTCAGTTGATAAAATAATGTGCTTGATGGGTGACAGTAATGCTTTCTGGTGATGATTCTTACAGCTCTTTTCTGTAAAATAAAAATAGGTTTTGTAAATGTTTTACACGATTTCCCCCAAACATCAATGCAATAGATTAAATGTGGAACAATGATTGTGTTATACAACATGTACAGAGCTTTATCATTTAATAATTCCCTGACTTTGTATAGTACTGCAATAGATTTAGCTATTTTTATTCTTACAGAATTTATGTGATTTTTCCATGTTAGCTGTTCATCAATGATTACACCCAAAAATTTCATCTCATTAACTCTACAAATCTCAACACCCTCAATTTTAAATGGATCATCAACAGTTCTCTTTTTGTTACTAAATATCATGCATTTAGTTTTATCTAAATTTAATTATAATTTATTACGTTTAAACCAAGTTTGTATTTTGTCAACTTCTATCTTCATCAATTCCAACATCCGTTTCACATCTTTACCCAAACAAAAAAATGTGGTGTCATCTGCAAAAAGGACACATTTAAGGAGTTCTGATACATTTACTAAGTCATTCACATATAAAATAAATAACTTTGGTCCAAGTACAGAGCCTTGAGGTCTGTACTTGGATGCTGGTCCTCTTATACCATATTTATTTAATTTTTCAAGGAGAATAGTGTGGTCAATAGTATGATGGATGAAGCGCTTGGGAGGTTTGTGGGGCATAACTGATGACTTGTATAAATTGTGTAGTATGACATATCCTGAGATATATTCATACATTAAACGGGTTCATTCATTTTTCTGGACTGTATGATGTCGTGCTTTGAATTTAACAGAAATGTAACGTGATACGTTATTTATCTTTGACCCATCAAAATGAATGGAGGTCATTTATTTACAGAATCAAAGTTTAACATCAAACATTTACATTAATTTGGCAGAATATGAAAATAACAACATAATCAATCAGCTTTAGAACCAGGAAAACCATACGGCCATGATTTTCCATTGCTACACCACAGACATTTCTGAAAACATCTGGATTAATTTTCTAGCAGAAAGGAGAGTTTAAAGATGGAAAATTGAGATTTATCTTACAGAGAGATGTGTGAGGGAATTTGTCTGTTTTAACCAGAACAGCACGCTCTTTTGGAAATCAGCTTGTCCCAACAGTACACTTTTGGTGAAGGTCGACTTTTACCTTTTCTGAAGATAGATCAGTTCCGGCGTGGAGTCTCACTTCCAACCACTGTTCAGCGTCTCCGTGAGAACAGCTAAATACCTCGAGAGTCGTGCGAGGTTATCCAAACAGAAGTTATAATTCCCAAAATCGTCTCTGGTTCAGCTTGATTCTAATACAGCAGCTTCCATGAATGCCTGCGTTTGCATTCTGGAACTCCCAAACTCTCTGCATTCTGAATTCCAAAAATTCCTGAACTCTACTGTTGAACTGGGAAGTGCCACATTTAAATGGGCTCTACTTCCGGTTCATTTGAGAGCTTTTGATTGGTCGATGGACCAGAACAGAGGTGTGGTTTGTGATGTAAGGTGTTATGGAAAGTCAAGGATTGTTTAAGAACAGACAGAAAGATTGTTGGAGAAAACCAGTCTTCGTGGAGCCACTCACCAAGTATCTCGCTGTAAAAGTTAAACATGACATTTCTTTTCAGTAAACTTTTAGTTGACCGAAACCTGAACTTTGACACACTCTTACAAACTTGCTCACTTCAAAGCAGACGATCAAAAATTGAATCATTACTCTGTAACGTACTCTAACTTGATTTCACTTTGAATTGAGGAATAAAAATCATTACTACTGTTTAAGTAAATAAAAATGATTAGTTCACTTCAACCTGTAGACATTGTTTGAACCAAAACAATTTGATTATCAAAACATTTGTAAAATAGTAATGATCATAGAGAATTGTCTTTTCCACTTGATTAATTCAAGAAAGAAAGTCTCAGGATGGGTCAAACTGTATTTCTGGATTCAAATCAATGAAATGACAGTTTCTGTCCACCTGGTCAGTTTTGACATCAGGCCTAGTCCACTACAATTGTGTTAACAGACTTAAATGTTATCCTTCATGGCCAATCAATTAATAATTTATTTATGAGAGCGTTTTGCCTCTGTGGGTAAATTATTTTCTGTTTACTGTACTTGGTTATTCCTACACCTCAACCAATAGAAGTTTTTTGCGTTGTCAGCTCCAGGCTCTGCCCGTGACCTAATTAGCATTTTATCCCCCTTTGACCTTAGTTTTGGGGGTGGGTTGTTACAGATGGCCAACCGGATCAGCAGCCACCGCGTCCACTGAATAACTATAATATTACAATAACTATAATAATTCGCTGACTCTTGTTACTAAACAAGAAATCTATCTTCTTTTCTTTGAAATACGTTTTTAAATCATGTCAAACTGATTTGCTTACAAAAGCAGTAAAAGTTTAATTTAAAAAAAATGTCTGGGTTTTTTTGGGTTCTGACCTATAATCACAGTTAAATGATCGGTTTAGGGTTGGGCTAAAAAAAAATCATACGGGTTCGGACCGGGCTGGGTCTGATCTTTTAGGCCCGAATGCAACTCTAGTTAGAATCACGTCAGTTGAACAAAAACAGAAGCACCAGCAAAAAAAAAGCAAACAAGTTAACAATATCAGTTTTTGTATAACCGTATATCTGTATAGTGAGTAAGGACATACGGGTGAACAGAGGTGGCCAGAAGATCAGGAGCTGTGTCTAAGCAGCATAACTAAAGGGATGGTTCAGAGTCATCAAGCTTTAAATATACAATTTAACAAAAAGCAAAGTTTTTGCATAATCTGTAAGTTAAAGATTGTGACTGCCTAAACCCAAACTGGTAGCTGGTCCCACAAGACATGGGCCTAAAAGCCGAAGGTGCTGCTTTAGTAAACTCTGGATACAATAAGAAAGTGTGGTGGAGCTTGATCCTTAGTTAATGTATTTGTAACAAGAAAAAAATTAAAACTCTGCTGCCAATTTCACACCTTGTGGATCCTTTTTTGTGTTTTTGTCTTAGGTGATCACCACTCATTTGATGAAGCACACCAAAGTATTCAACTCCTATGGTCAGGTGGTGGAAGTCCAGTATGAGATCCTAAAGTCCATCGCCTATTGGATGACCATCCAGTACGACTCAGCCGGGCGAACAACCACCTGTGACATTAGGGTTGGCGTGGACGGCAACGTGACGCGCTACACTTATGAGTATGATGCAGACAGTCAGCTGCAAAGCGCCTCAGTCAATGAGCGTCCTCAGTGGCGTTACAGTTACGACCTCAATGGAAACATTAACCTGCACAGCCTCGGAACAAGCACCAGGTGAGAATCTGTTACTTGTGTACGGTTATTTGTCTTCCTACACTGATCATGGACATCAGTCATATATTTCTTAACTGTTCTTTTTCCAGCTTAAAAATTATAACGCATACAAGTTGAACGATTTTCAACGATTTATGATGCTACCATCGCCATCAGGACTAAATCTGTAAACTGATGGATGCTGGAATGCAAGTAGACGGGGGGGGGGGGGGTCCTCCCCCAGAAAATTTTGAATAAAGTAGATGTGATTTCCTGCATAATGGGTTGTTAAACATCAATGTTTACCATTTTGTAAACACTCCGCTTCTGTCAGGTATCAGACCCCGACCCCTTCCCCTTTACTTGATGGTTTTAAGCCCGACTCTTCCGTCTGTTCGGGACAGCTGCCTGTGGACTCCTGTCCACGTATGACTGCCTGGTTTGCTCAGCACTCAACTCCACCACTCTTTTAGGGACGGAGATTTTTTTAATGGTAGATGCAGAAATGCTACTTGAAGAGGCAGCTCGTATGCTAGTGGCTGTTGTGTTTAAACTGAGTGTTTATGTAAATATTTTCAGCTTACTTATTTTGACAGGATGCGTTCCACCCTGTCAAAATAAAAGAGTTCCTGTTCCGGGAGGATCTGGCTCATATTAAGCACTCATCACCGTGCTTGACAATTGGTACAGTGTTTATAGCAGGGGTGCCCAAAGTGGAGTCCACAGGCCAAAGTTGGCCTGCCAAGCTGTTCCAGTTGCCCCGGCAAGCTGTCTTCATTATTATATTAAAATTTCCTTTGAAGAATCAATGTGCTTACTCTCATTGATTCCACGCATTTACTTTATTGTTAGTCGGCCTGACTACAATAATTTAACTACATGGATTACACAGTAGAGTAGATAATTTATGTATTTTTAAATAATTTTAATAATTTATACTTTTATATTTCATTTTGACAGACTTTCTACAATCCCTCGTCAGCTTCCTGCCACTGAATAACATTTTCCTGTGACAGAACACACTTATAGATCACAAAGTGTTTAAAAGTAAATTATAACTGGTTTCAGTGGTGATTGTAGCCTCTTTAAATTTAAACTCAGCACCCCTGAAAAATAACAAAACCATCATTAGGATTGTATAAGAAAACAGTTCTCAAACCTTAGATTCACCAAAATATTTAATAAATATGAAATAAGTGACGACAGTCTCAAACGGACCAATAAAATCTATAATTTTTTTTTTGTGCGAGTCCCGCCACCCGTCAATCAATCCAGTAGGCATGTCAGCAACTGACCAACCAGCAAACTCAATTTGTCCTGAAGTGAACACCTCTTACCTGCAGAGCTGCAGCGGTGTTGCATTACGAACGCTTTGCAGTCAGAGATTTCAATAATAACAGAGTTTACATGTTTTGTTTCATGTTAATCTACTGTAATAAACCTTTGTAAAATACAGCAAAATGTAGGAAATGGCATCTACTTTAATCAAAATTCTCTGGGGGAGGACCCCCAGCCCCCACCACCACCAATACAGCCTGTTCTGTAATGTTCTTTATACAGAATGGAAGGTTAAATAACTGTATAATAAATAAATGGACTTTACTTAAAGAAGTATTTGCATTTCATGTATTACTGCATTTGGCCCGCAGCCCTCTGATAGATTTTAAATTTGTCCCTCTCAGGGAAAAAGTTTGGGCACCCCTGGGTTATAGGTTTGAAACACTCTCACTTCTCCTAGCCTTATGTTGAGGATTTGTTTGGGTTTAACCAGAATTTGTTTATTACTTATTATTTGGAATATTATAATTTGATATAAGTTACTATTTTAGTTGTAATTGATATTTCATAGAGATTTAGTTAAAATCTGCTTCAAAAGAAGACCATATTTGTTGACCTTTAATAGAAGGGACTCTATATCCCATGATGCTTCAGAAGTAGAAGAAGGAAGGAAAAAAAAGAGTTGGTGAGTGTGAGAAAACAAAACAAGACGGATGGTTTCGTTTCAGAGAGTTAATATTCTGAGCTCCCACATGTTGTCTGTCATAGAGCACCACTGTCATTTTTTTCACCTTTTTCATTCACTAAAGTTCATCTGAATAAGACATCTGGCTCCTTCTCGTCTTTGGATTAATCAAATATACAACACCTTTTGTCACTGTGGTCATAAAAAACCATATTCGTCTCGTCTGAGCATAAGACGTTTCTCCAGATGTTTATTCAACATTTGATGTGTCCATGTGGGCAGCTGCAAATTGTAGTTGACATTTAAAGTGTTGTTTTTGGAGCAGATTATTTCTTAGTCAACATCCTCCCAGTCCATGACAATGTAAATCTGGCTTCACTGTGGACAGAGACTCTGTTGACGAGCTTTGACTGTGTGGATTAGAAAAAATCCACAGTAGATTCAAATGTGTGTGCCAAGTCCTTTGAACATCATCGACGTTGTATGTGTTATATTAGTTCCTGTTTGTTTAAAAAAAACTTTAAATAAATAAATTAATATGGCATTCATGTTCATAATGAGTGGATGTAAACATCTGGAAACACGGTTCCAAAATTGTCCCTAATCACCAAATAATTCAAGAATTTGTTACATCCTGACCTATTCTCGGGGCCGAGATGGGGTAGAGGCAGGTCAGCCGACCGGGGACCAGAAAGTCGCAGCTCGACTCCCAGCCATGTTGGGGTGTCGTTGAGCAAGACACCTAATCCCTAATTGCTCCCTGGGTGTTCAATCTTAGATCTTTTAGTGTATATCTTAGATCCTTATATACTGTTTTTTTTTTATAATTTGTATTTTTGCTATTTTTGGGTGTAACTGGGACACTGAGTACATAATTTTGTTCCACCTCATGTACCACATGTGATGCGAATGACAGTAAATAAACTTGAACGTGAACTTGAATAGCTGCCCAGTGCTCCACCTGGGTGTATCCCAGGTGCGATGGGTTAAATGCAGAGAGCCAATTTCGTCATTGTATGGGAACATACAACATACAGCACTTATTCTCAAAGTACACAATGTACTGAGCATTTAAACTTTTGCAAAACACTAGGTTAGAATGATTACAAACACCATAATGCTAACCTTAACTCGTAAATATAGTCTTGACTCGTGGTCCGTGTAATTTTTTTCATTCCAGGCTGACGTCGCTGCGCTACGACCAGAAAGATCGCATCACACACCTCGGGGACCTGCAGTACAGTGTTGATGACGACGGCTTCCTCCGCCAGCGAGCCGGCGAATTGTTCGAATACAACTCCAACGGACTGCTGACCTGCGTCTACAACCGCATGACAGAGCGCTCCGTTTGGTACCGCTACGATGGACTGGGCCGGCGCGTGGCCACCAAGAACAGCCAGGGCGAGCAGCTGCAGTTTTTCTATGCTGACCTGTCTCACCCCACCAGGGTCAGCCACTTGTACAACCACAGCAGCAATCTGATCACGTCACTGTACTACGACCTTCAGGGTCACCTCATCGCCATGGAGCTGAGCAGCGGGGAAGAGTATTATGTCGCCTGTGACAGCGTGGGGAGCCCGAGGGCAGTGTTCTCCAGCAAGGGCCGATTAATCAAAGAGATCTTCTACACCCCCTATGGAGAGGTTTATCAAGACACAAATCCTGACTTCAAGCTCATCATTGGCTTCCACGGAGGCCTGTACGATCCATTCACAAGACTGGTTCACCTCGGCAGGCGAGACTACGACACACTCGCCGGCCGATGGACTTCACCCAACTATGAGCTGTGGGGGGAGCTGAGCAAAGAGCCGCAGCCATTTAACTTGTATGCCTTTAAGAACAACTGCCCGGTTGGAAGCGTGGAGGAGGTGACACAGTTTACTACAGGTGAGCTTCACACTTGCTCAGACACTTAGTGTCTAACTAATTGCATAATCAGTTACTGACTGACAGATACTATGACACCTACTCCCACACCTGCACATGCAAAGGAAACATCTGCCATGAAGAGTGAGTGAATATAGCACATGGCTAACCACAGGTGAGCTGAGTGTCAGAGGAAGATGTGGCTGATAGAAAGTGCTGGCAACAGAAAGGACAGCCATGCCTTTGATCATGGTGTTTCTTTAACACGGGCTGCAGTGTTTTGTTCTTTCTGTCAAGAGCATGCCGTTTCCCCAGCAGACAAAATACAAACTCAGGCGAGGGAAAGAGATGGAAGAGGAGAGCAGAGGATGAATGCAGAATGTTGGTGGGGGCGTTCGTCCTTCTGCCTAATGGCACATTCATTTGGCCTGTCACGTTTTCCTGCAGCAAGATACTTTATTACAGGAGAATTTGTAAGTGAGGGAAACACAGACGACTTGCCTCTGCTGCTCACAGATTGTGTGATTTCCTGTGCAAGGTGTGACTTTGCTGGCCTCATGACTTTTTGTTTGCTTCACAGTATACACAGTTAAGTCAAACTTTTTTCCCTTAATGCATTCTTTACGCAGACATTTGTGTGTGTGTGTTTCCAGACATTGGTAGCTGGCTGCAGCTATTTGGCTTCCAGCTTCATAACGTTGTACCTGGTTTCCCGAAGCCTGACGTGGGCACAATGGAACAAACATACGAGCTCATGAAGACCCAGACGAAAACACAGAACTGGGACTCCAGCAAGGTGAGAAACTGTGCCCAGCAGGAACAAGACCCCTTTAAATTCCATCATCAGTGTGAACCAAATATGTTGAAAAACTATTTTTGTTAGTCTAGATATTTTCCAGTGCATTTTTTTGGAAATCTCTATATAAAACTTTAGCTTTATATTAATATATTTAACTAAGTTAAAGCCTTTTTGTGTCACTTTAAAAGGAGAAAGATTTTCAAACAGACAACCTTGTCTTTTTTTTTAACAAGGAGAAAAAGTTTAGGAGAATTCCTTTTTTTATTTTGTCTCCTAAACAATTATTTGACAGCTCATCATCAACAGGTAGGTGAGGGGGGATGCTATGATCGGAGAAAGCCCCGCATCATTTCTGGTGCTGATAAAAAATAAACCACAGGAACAATGTGAAGGTAACAAATTAATGGTACTGACCATCTTAAAACTGTGCTACACCTTGAAATTGGCTTTGTGTGCACTTAATGGGGTAGAGGCAGGGCAGCCGACTTGTTACCCAAAAGTTCCAGGTTCGATCCCCAGTCACTGCACATCTCGTGGTGTCTCTGAGCAGGACACCCTATCCCCAATTGCTCCCCATGCACTTTCATTAGTTGCCCATTGCTCCACGTGGGAGTGGTTGGGTTAAATCTGTGCTTCTCAATTATTTTCTGCTCAGTGTTTAGCTGGACCTGGACTTGGTCTTCAGTGCAGCAACAGCAGAGAAGCTCAAGAGCGAGCAGGCTGGCTTGGGAGGCTGGGAGGCTGGGGGGTGGGCCAAGGGAACGTGCTCACAAGAGGAGAAACTGACAAGTTGTTTAGTGACAAAATATATTTTCTTAGTAAAGAATAGAGTCCTAACTTTTGTTAAACATCTGTTTTTACAACAAATAAAACATCAAACTTGCGCTTTGACAATCGATAAAACTAAAACATTTTGTCAACGCGAAAGAAGAAAGAGGGGCAGGTGTCGCTCTCGCTTTGAGTTTATACTCTTTGTTGCTGCGTGCAGTGGGTGAAATGCGTCCAGAGCGGAGGACTTGTTAGTAAAGAATAGAGTCCTAACATTTATTAAACATTACTTCTGTATTCAGAACAAAGCCCAGTTCTGGACTTCACATTGTTGGATTAAGTTCTGTTGTTCATTAATAATTAATAAAACATGTTTGATTGTCAAAAAACCCCCAAAAAAACCATTACTTCCGTATTAAAAAAAAAAACACACACACAAAAACTGTGCTTTGACAAACTAAAAAACAAACAAATAAAAATTGTTAAAGCGAAAGAGGAAGAGGGGCAAGTAACGCTCTCACTTTGAGTTTATTCTCTGTTGCATGCGTGCTGTGGGTGACAAGCGTCCAGAGCATCACCAGCTGAGGAGGTGTCGGAGTTTCTCAGCAGCAGAGGGAAGCGACACGGTTCAAACATGGCTCCACAAATGACAAGATAGACATATTTGTTCATAACTTTATTATTAGTCAGACTGAGAGTTGCTGGGTTCTAGCAAGCAGTTGTCGAACGCACCCTGAAAAAATAAGAATGATGAAAAAAAAAACTACTCCCTGCCGCAAAATGTTCCCCAGGGTCACATGTGTGCCCCCCTGGCATTGCTCCGCCCCCCCAACCCCCACCCACCCCCCCGGGGTCACACCCCGTTATTTGAGAAGGACTGAGTTTTTTCATTCATTCGACCTTTATTTAAACAGATAAATCACATTGAGCCTCAAAGACTCTACAAGTGAGACCTGTTTGGACAGACAAAAACCAGTGGTTAACTGGACACGTAGGAATTGGAGGCGAAAAAAAATTCCTATCAGACTTTTTTCTTGGCTGAGAAAAACCCCTAATATTGAAAAAGCACTTTGCACAAACAAGCACATTTTACGTAGACATTCTGCAATAGAGCAGAGCAGGAAGAAGGAAGAGACGAGAGCGGTCAACAACGCCTACAGATGCTCTCGAGGTCACTGTAATCAGTCAATGTCCTCCGGTGAGATCCATAAACATTCTCGAGGTATGTCGAGAAATGGCCAAGGATAACCTCTGTAAGAATCCAGAGTCCTGAAATGATGACACAAAGTTTTTTCAGCGGGGTTTCATCTGGTTATCAGTTGGAAATTCCTCAGGGAGTGGGTGGTGAGCTTCAGATCACATTTTCTCCAGGCGACTTTAGATAAGATGGCCTTCAAGGACACCAAGGCGACCAAAATTTAGATAAACACACAGTTGTTTTGGGGACAGGCAGAACTTAATGACATCAACCTTGAGTCTGTGTTGGTCCACTCGGTTCCAAAATGTCCAAATTAACATGGCCAACACCGATGGAAATGTGTCTGAGTAAAAATCCCCAAGATCTGATCTATTCAGCCCAAAGCATTTGAGTCCGGGTACTCCAGACATGAACCAAATAAAGGCAAGCAGCGTGATCAGGTCCAAATTTGCTGCTGACGACTTCCTTGATTGTAGATAAAACCAGCACCAGCTGAATCCAAAAAGCAGGAACCAATTATCAAAAATCCAATTAAATATGCGTCCTTAAAATCCACAGATGGCAGCAGAGATAGACACATCATCAAGTTTTCCAGTCGATGAGATATCCAGCTGCATACGTACCAACAGGGTAAATCGGCTCGCCCAAAGCCTGTCTTCTTTTGAAGAAATGTTGAAATGAAGAAATTGAGATGAGGGACCAACTGGTCAAACTGATCAAAACAAGTCCATAATTATGGTTCGGAAGAAATGTAAGAGGGCCCTGTGATGGACTTGCGACCCGTCCAGGGTGTACCCCGCCCCTCGCACAGTGATTGCTGGACATGGGCACCAGCGACCCCCGTGACCCAAAATGGAATAAGCGGGTAAAGAAAATGGATGGATGGGTGGAAGAAATGTAAGCGAGTCGCACAGCAATTTCACAGACAGACAGAGCAGCAAAGCAAAGTGGAGAGGGAGGGAGAGAAGCATCCGATCTCGTGGGGAGCGAGTGGTGAGTTAAATGCAGAGAGCCAATTTCGACGACAACACATACACATTATTAATATAGACTGTCTTGTTGAACGGAACTGGGTTGTAGTGGTTAGAACCATCAGAGAAACTGTCACTCAATACAATATTTATATCCAATTTAAAGAAAATTATTATGATTATCATTAATGAAAACAATTAACAAACAGGCCTTGTGATAATTCCAGTACGCTTTTGGAATATCTGG